TGGCCGAAGATGATTTTCAAGGCTCCCTTCTGCATTTTCTCAAAATATTGCGCCTGCTTGGCAGTGTGTCCCGCATGAAAAACCAGCGCACAGTATAAACCAATTATCAATGTCGTTGCAAGCAATGGAGCTTCTGGGCCTTACCGTGCTGTAAATACAACAGCTTGCAATACTTCCTTAGGAGTTAACAAACGATCCGAATGGCAGATCCGTTAATTGCGTTATGTCCATTACGGAAGGTTGATTGGGGACCGGGTTGTCAGACATGTAAGATGCAGTGCGCTGGAGCAGTCATCCTAGCACACACTGGCGGGATTGACGGCCTCAGCAACTCAGCTCGTTGCAAAGCTGCGATAGTACGGACTATGCGTACACAAATGAAGACGGGCAGTGATAATGAAGAAGTAAGAGCAATAGAATAAGGCGCACGAGTCTCATGACATGGATCACATTCTGGACGCTTATCTCAATTCGTCCTGCTGTATGCATATAGTAGGTGATTCCAGTGATGAGTGCTGCCTATGAAGTTGTCCAATGGTTAACTAATAAACTTCATCAACAATCCTCAACTCCTAAAACAACCTTCAAGATCTGGGTCACAGAAGATCAAATATTAAAGTTCACAGCAAATGAGCTCTTGCAAATTTTACTTGATGACCCCAATTCATCTGCATCCGTTAACGATGACTGAAATGACATTTAACTCGGCCCTGCCTGGATGGTTTCTCCTCTGCGATCGCCTGGAAAAGGTCAAAAGCATCCCCTGCCTCCCTGGTATGCCAGGGTTTGACAGGCGGGCCGAAAAAATTCAAGCACCAATCAATGTGCCAGGTACCAGTGAAAGACTCCGGTCAAGCACACTCAGGAATTTGGAGCTGACATTAATCATGCAGCCGATGGTGTCAGCAACCTCGTGACATGCCTCAAGGAATGCGTGAATCTTGTAACGGCTTTAGGGCCCGCTAGCTGGCGTCATGATGGTCACGTAGGCTTGAAATTGCTCCCAAGTGAAGGAATGTGCCCTTGCTCTTCGTTGCAATACCATGATGTTACAAAGGTTAAACCTTACAATCACGTCAGGTTAAGGTCATGCAAGGTCAATGATATAGCTTGTCAATTGCTCTGTTTAAGATCATGTCGGGCCTAAGTCACGTCAGCTTGAGCTTAGGTCACCCCATTTGTCCTTATTCATCTGCTCTTTGTTAGGTGGTCACTGGTTGAAGGAAATATGCCGCTTTTGGAGACTTTGTTGCAAACATCATATATGACGTAGATAGCTCACTTGTATCTACGGACATGCTTTTAAGCGCAAAAGACTGTTCCAGACAACAAAGCTTCACTATTGAGTTAATACGATGCATTTGCATTCTCGATAACGGCGTTTTTCTGAAGTTATTCAACGTACAGCCTCATCTGGGTCATAGCTAGTAAAAGTACTGAAATGTTTGTATTATGTTTCACAAAACGCGGTTCGAGTACGAAACTTGCATTAAATATTTTGAGCTGGCTGCAAGCCAACCGCTGTCCGTTGATATAGCGATTCGTACTGACGTGCTTCAGACACAAACAAGCTGTTGACTCTTTTTGTCTTGACCTTGAACACAATACGGCTATTGATGAAGTTGAATTCGTGTGACGTTTCAATGAAATCATATATTTCGTGGTGTCAGAATAGGCGGTACGAAAAAGTAGGCACAAATTTACTCCTAGCCCAGAAAGAAGAGTATTCGAAGTCTTAAGAAGAGCATAACTATGCACTGCAGGGAATGGTCTTTAAGTAGCCGCATCAGTTAAAAACCACATACAACTGTGTAACAGGCCCTTAACGATTAAATTCAACGTAGCGAGTCATATAAATCAGCAAAAGCAATCCTAGTTTTTGCAGCGGCCGATTTCGCGGTCGAACAGGAACTACGAAGAATGTGTTTTAAGGGATGCCAACGTCGCTATCATAGCAGGTCATGTGAAGGCCTAGTTTTATTATAAGACTGCCTACAAATACCCATTGCGAGGATATGAAAACATTGAATGATTTAAAAGTGCTGTGCTCTAACGTCATAGGAAGGTCCTTCAGATCTGGCAAGAATATTATGTGACTCTGTTTAGCACTGTCTCGCCCTGCATGACCTCCAAAGATGAAGATAAGTAAATTCTCACATTTTCGACAGAATGCCAACATTGTCAAATGTGGCAAGGCCATCAAAGCACGCAAAGGCTAATCAACCCGATGCCCAGCATGTAAAAACATTTGAGTTTTGCTCAAATGTTCTCCCACAAAATTTCCCCACAAAATTGCATCGCTCCATGCGTAGCATTCATGCACGATTGATCTAGATGTGAAGTGGGTGGGTCGTTGTTCCCAAATGATCCCCAAGTATCTCACATACATCTGTGTATGTAAGGTCGCATCACGAATCCTGAGCAGGACGCGGCTTAAGATTTTGGAAAAAGTCTGTACCTCACACAATTTCAAATGTATTGCATACGGACGAGCAATGAATATTTCACTATAAGAATACTCTAGTATCCTCCTCCTCCCCCCCCCCCCATCCCTCTTCACTGAGCTACTTTTCTCTATGACCGCGCTTTAGAGCAGCCAAGTCTGGAGAACGCCCCAGGTTCACCGAACAGCCCCATCGCTACCCGCTAACCATCCCCGCATCTGCCTGCCGTACAATAATGGGAAAAGCCCCGCTGATTAATATTTGCATTCGTATTGGCCTGCGGGCGACGGCCATCCGGCGGGCAGAGGCGTCCCAACCGAGCCTACGCCACACGACCGGGTTCGCCGAACCAATTCCGCAGCGATCGGGGCCAGTGACGGTCGGGCGGCGCCTCCTGACGTGGTGGCAGCTGCTGGCCGGCGGCCTCCCGACAGCGGCTCCCGCCAGGTCACGCGGCGCCCTTTTGACCGACCCCGTGTCACGTCAAGCGTTAAACGCCGCCGACCGGCCGGCCTCGAGGCGTAATTGATCGGCTGGAAATAACTGGGCAGCGTCCGCCCGTTGACTTCCAAAACAGCCCGCGCAGAGACAGAGTCGTACGGCGGCCGGGGCGGCCGGCTCGTCGGGATCCTCGGCCGAATCCGTCGCCTCTGCCGCATCGGCCTTCCGAGCCGTTTCAGCTGATGACCTGGTCCGACCTTTCGGCCGCCCAGCCGGCCCGGCTGGGTCCGACCTTTCCTGGCGCTCCGTCCCAGTAGCATCCGCTTCTGTCTGGACCCTCCGACGCCGGGATCGTCCGCAGCAGCGGGATCTCCGCCGTCTTGATCCGCCGGTGCCGAACTCGGCGCGTTATTGGCGAAGTTTGATGACGTCATGCTATGCTCGTTCTTCTGGTGCTCTTGTTAGCGGACGCGGTGAATAATGAAGTGAATTTTGTTGGGATTGTGCAAGGCAGTGATAGCTTAACCAGCCTACATCCAACGACACATATGCACTTAGTGATGTGAATAATGAAGTGAACGCGGTGAATACGCGCCACGCGGTGAATAATGAAATGAATTTTGCTGGGATTGTGCAAGGCAGTGATAGCTTAACCAGCCTATATCCAACGACACATATGCACTTAGTGATTAAGGTAGTGATTCATAGCTACACAAGAATTGCGTAAGTTGTCAAGTGCATTTGCGAGGAACATTATACGTATAGATACGACGGTACTGACAGCCTTATTCCTCATAAGATAAACATGAGAATTAAGAGATCGATGTGATATTTCGGCTATATGGCTTAACCGAAAGGAAATCAGTAGTAAATTGAAACTTGCCTTAAGGCTCGGCGTTGCGTCTTGTTTCGTCTATTATTGCCTCGGCCTCGCCGGCAGAGGCAATTTTGAATTTACTACTGACATTCGTTTCGGTAAAGGTATGTAGCCAGCATATTACATTTATCTATCCATTCTCGTGTTTATTCTACGAGGAATAATGTTGTTTATCCTGTCCTATAATCACGCAAGGATCGTTGGATTAGCTTCCATAACGGAGGTTTTACTCGCACCTTTACCATATCAGGGGCAACGCTGCTTTTGTTGTCACTGTTGATAAATATTTGCCTCAGGGTCAATCCGCCACATCTAACTAACACATGAATATCATCCTCCATAGCCGTAGAGCTGGGCCATGCCATTATGAGGTTACTGGTGTCAAGGTCCTTCTTTAACATGAAGAGGTACCTAGCGTCATAGTAACTCCAGTCAACTCCTACTCCCGAGCGGTGTTTCCCCGCGTATCTCAGCATGCAATGTCCACTCGTCTCGGCCCTCTTGGGTGAACATCCGTCGCTTCGCGTCGTGGACATCCGAGAGACCCTCGCTATGGTCCGCGGCTCGCGGCGCTGGGGTGGCAGCCACGTGTTCTCCAGCGGCACGAGAACGGGCCGAGGCCCACATAACCGGTGCCGGTGGAGTGGCCCAGACCGCGTGACGAATTGTCGGCCGTCAGTAGGGGCGCGCACTACAAATGCCACCGGTGGCAGCGTGGCGAGCTCTTCGCTGCGGGTGTGAAAAATGACTGGCGTGGGCTATCCGGATGAAATCGATGGCTTCAGAGAGCCCGCGTCCGCCATTCCAGCACCTGATAAAGGCTACGTCTTGAGCCAACCAACACAGGACGCCGCCGATGACTTTCCGGAGAAAGTCACGGAGGCCGATAAACTGATACGTGGATGGATATGGCCCAATATTAGTGGCATCCATTGGATGTGGAGCTGCTCGTGGTTTACGAATTGTCATGTGCGCGAACCCGGAGACCTTTTGCGAAGCGTTGAAACCTGACATACCACCAGGTGCTATTAGTTATCTCGAGTATGGGTGGTGGACAGGCCCGCATCAGGTGACTTCACATCTTGAATATTTCGAACGTGAATGGCGCTTCTACCTCTTCTTACCCGCTGACTGTCCCATGGCCATGTTCCAAGGCCTACATAACTTTTAAGTTGCATCTGTTTTTGGCACACCACAATGCAGCAATATTAATGCCCCACTGTCTCCCCACGTTTTAGATCATCACTTCTCAGCAAGTCCAACGGAAGAAAGGCGGCGGCGAGCTCCCCAGTACTCACCCCGAACAGTCACCGCGCTTTTAAGAAGACCCCACCGCCGCAGAACAAAGGAGAAGACGTGATGAAGGCGCGAAAACAGGTGAGTCTGGCGCTGGCGGAGAGGTTGTAGGACTTACAGACGGCCGTCGTGCTCCCAGTCTGAACAAGGAGCCACTTCCAGCGGACCTAACCAACTGGCAACGTGACTCTTAAAACAAACTTGGGGCTGCTCGTGAGCGTGGTGATGTGACCCGGTGCGTTGTTTGAAGGATGTTTTCCTGTTTTATTCCTCTTAGCTACTATGTGCTAATTGTGTGAGGTCTTGTGCTTGACGTAGGATGTAATTCTATTTCACTTTCCTGACTGCGAAGTTGTTTTATTTTACGTTCCTGACACGACACATGGCTTTGTGTTATATGCCGCGGATCTGGGAATGGCCACGTTATGTATGGGTTGGTCGTAGCAGTAAAACAAGCAAACCAATGGTGAGAAAAAGAACACTCCTAGGAAGACAGTTAGATGTTTAGGATCTAAGAAAACAAACGGCATTGTGTGCAATGCACTGAGCGCCAAAAACTTTTGCTGCGCAAAGACGTACCTAGTCACCTCTGTAAATACAGGCGGGATGTCGAGCAGCTGGATGTATGGTCACAGACTACTTGTGAGGAGTGTCGAACCCCTTTGAGTAGAAGAGCTCTTACCCTCTTTTACTTGTGCATCCCACATTTGCGTTTTCGTGCACTCCCTGCTGCCTGCTGTTTTGAAATGGGCACGGACGTATTTTAAGAAACGCTATCATTCTTGCATTTGGTCACATTGTTAAAACTTATGAGCATTTCATTTATAAATGACAAAGTTATTATTTACTCACGCATGCTCTACTTGCCAAGACTTGCTGAGATGTATTTTGGCATGCACTTTTGCTCATGCTCAAGGCAATCACAGCCTGCTGCGTAATTTAGAACGCAACATTTAAAATGTATGCATCGTCGGCGGCCAGAAACGTGGATGTCATTGCAGTGACTGACAGTCCCGTCATGGTGATCGATATTCGTACAGTGATGGCATGCGCAACTCCCCAATGACCGAGCCGTCAATGAGGCTTGGCGGACGTGGTTCAGGGCATCGGCCAGCGGGGATTCGCCGTGAACGCGTCAGCCGGGTCAGTTGTCAGTCAGCGGGGTCAGCCGGGTCAGTTGTCAGTCAGCGGGGTCAGCCGGGTCAGTTGTCAGTCAGCGGGGTTAGCCGGGTCAGTTGTCAGTAAGCGGGGTCAGCTGGGTCAGTTGTCGGTCAGCGGGGTCAGCCGGGTCAGTTGTCAGTCAGCGAGGTCAGCCGGGTCAAGCTGCAAAGAAATGTTCATGTGCAGTGTATTATGTGTCTGGTTTTCCGATAAGCAGGCGCCGTCTTTGTTCGCTTTGATTGGACTGTAATTTGCGCTACTTATTATGCTGCTCGTCCGTCCTACTTATTATGCTGCAAGTCCTGCAACTTGAAATGAATTGTTTGAACGGCTTAATTTAAATGGGTTATGTGAAACCGCTTCTATTTTAAGGCCATCTTTCCTGATTTTCTCAAACAACTTATCCGCATTTCATTCAGGCAATTTCCTTTTTAAGCCGAGAACCGTGACCGTCACGGTGAATGGCTGGAACTGTGACCTGACAGGGAGTCTGGACGGATTCAGAGATTCAGGACACTCCGCGTTACCGTCGCCAACTCGACCCGCCGTCAGGCGTCTGCTTCATTTGAGTTGGGCGCAGTCCTCGCAGCTGGCGGGCACATTCCGCGGTGTTTTGCAAGCCTCAGCAGTTTAGCAAATTACTCCAGATCTTGTCAGTTTACAGATTGTGGCGGCTTATTGTGAGATGTGAGACCGGGGAGTTAATGAGTTGAACCTCTCAAATAGATGGGATGCTAACAGGGTGGAATTTACGCATACCCTGTAAGTTTTTAAGCCCTCAGTGGCAGCAGAGATGTTTCCGCCGCATTGCTGAAATAGACGACTTTGGTGAGCGCTTCCGCGGCAGCTCTCATTCACTCCAGCGCCGGACCATCACCAGAGCCGACCTTTGCTCACCGCCGACACCAACTGAGTGGAAGACAATCGGACATGACGCCAAACTGATCCGAACTTTTGGCTGAACAGAGCGCAATCTACCACTGCTGCCTGCTAAAGGCGTGATAGCATCGCGCCGCGCTCCGCGCTCCAGCCATTTTGCCTCCGCTAACGGGGTCAGTATCAGCGGCACCGAGCAAGGCCTCCGGCGGGCCGGAGCGGGGCTCAGCCCGCTCTGGGCCGGCTCAGGCCGCGCCGCCACAGCCGCCCAGGCGCCCCCGCTGTCTCGCTGGCATTTCGGAGACACATGGTGCATCGACATTGGGCGTCGAGCCAATAACAGGATAATCCCGCAGCGAGCCCCGTCGGCCGTCACGTAATGTCGGCCGAGAGGGAAGATTCAGTTTCACGCGGCCACCCTCTGCATACCACAGTAAGGCGGGCTGCGTCCGAGGGAAACATCAGGTGCGGGGTGGACGCCATGTAGTCACCCTTCCGCATGATCAGGTGCAGGGTGGACGCCATGTAGTCACCCTTCCGCATGCCCTTCGGCGGGTGATCGACACTGGTGTTGAACCTCGCACTCAGTTATGCGCCACTGGCGTCTCAAGCTCGCTGAGCGCAGCGACTCGCAGCATCACAATTGCCTCACGGCACAGCGAGCGCGGTGCCGAGCACCACCCTCCCGAAGCACTTAAGGTGATCCCATCCGGCCCTCCAAAGCCTCTCCTGCACCCGGCGCGCACCAAACCGCCTCCAACGCGCCCTAATTGTGTTAGAAGCCGGACGCCGCGCCCCGTGGCCCGTTAAGGCGGGGGTCGTCTGGCACGTCGTTGTCACGCAGGCGGTGCCGCTCTGCCCTGGCGGCGGTCGGCGACCGCGTCTCCTGCCGGCCGGCGCACGGCCAGGCTCCGCGCGGGGCCGCGCCTGATCTGGGATCCGCCCGGAATCAACTGCGCACCTAATCAAGTCGCAGTAGGGCGGCGGCGGCGGGCGCCACGTTGTCCACTGCAACCGCCGGCTGATGGACGTGCGGCGGTCCAGGCCGGGGTCAGTGGAGATGGAATTGCGCCACGTTCCAGGTCAACGCGTCACGACAGGAGGAAATGGCCGAGGTGCGACGTGATCCCGCCTGACTCGGAGCGCTACCTAAACAACCGCTGGTCTCCTTATCCGTCCATTGTGATGGGTTCGGGGCTTTTTGGCTGCGGATGGGCATGATTCTCTGGAGGAGGTTACCTTTCAGCTGTAAAGGGGTTGGACCACTGCAAACACATCTGAAGTAAACGCGACGACTGTTGTAGCACCTCTCCCTGTTCTTGACCCCGACGTTTGCTTTTATTCCCGGCCGTTGCTCTTTGCGCAATAGTGAGCTGAAGGTGTCTGTAGAACATGAATGGAGAGGCATGCTCAAGTTTTGCGCTACACGCAGAGCCTCCGCCACCATAACGCACAGAGCAATCAAGGCCCCAGCTTCTGGTGTTTGGCAGCTGTACTGCCGCAGTGAAGGAAATGCGTTGCCGTAGCATTAGTACTCTCTGACCTTAACCCAAACCCCTAGCGGAACACGTGACAAGATGTTTTCACTGGTTCATTACGCCCTAATGCCCGTGAACCTCACAAAGGTCTTCAGCTTCTCCCCCTAGGCGAGGCTCTGACTTATCTCCTGGTTACATGCTTACAGATGTTCTCGGTCCCGGTTAGGTGTAACTAGTTACGTGATACAAGCTTTCGCACGTAATTGCCTTGATGAGACGAGAACAGCCACAGAAAATGCATTTGCGTTTAGTTCGTGCATTGAACTTATTTGTAGCCTGGATGCTCCTTTCGGGTTATTTTTTTGTTGCATTGCTGACGAATAGTTTTTATGAATGATACACCCAGCGTAAATGAAAAATTACCTCCAGTAGCCTGAAGGAAGGCCACGACAGTACAACGCTGAATACGAATAATTCAATTGGATTAAGTCGATGAAATAAAGTTGCTATCTTTGTCTGTATAGGAATGGTACAGAGCATCAAGCGATAATTTTTGGAAAGCGGGACTGGTGGGCTAATCCGCAGTTATTTACAATAGTTAGACTAAATGATTTACTGTCGTGAATGCATTTGTCCTGATACAACTTCTTTACAATACCGTGTATGAAATTACAGAAAGAAGATCATGTTATTGTTTGTTTCTTTCTGCTAACAATCATTGCAGCATCGGATAACTAGGTATCAGTATTATAATCAAATGTAAGTACTGTGTAACCAGAGTAAACAAGCCCGTCAGACCAGGGCAACCAGAGCCGCAACAGCAAGGGCAATCGCGATCAAAGGCCAATCGTGCGTAGAGCCAGCCGGGCCTCCGGGATAGCAACATTTGGAATATTTGCTGCATGTGCACTCCATCTTGTGTTTCTGAGTAAATAACTGGCAAGAAATACATGAAGGTGCACACATATGTAGATTAACAACAACAAAAATCACTGCGGGACGACGGCTGTCATTCTCAGAGGCGCGGGGATTTTTCAATAAAAAGATCATCTTTCAGCTACGTTGTTTTTATTGGAAAGCGGCTTTTGGGACAAGTCCGACTCACTCATTGCGCGGGCACAGGCCGGGGTTCCGGCTTCGTCGTCCGGAACGCTAGGGGAACAATGGAAGTGTTTTGAACCCTACTTAGGGTCGGGGAACGGACGGAGGCCTGGGTCGAGTGGGGTCCGGGGCGGTCGCTCGACGGCCAGCGTCGACACCTTAAGCCAGCCGTCCAGGCCGCATACTCGACAAGCCGAAAGATTAACTTGGTTCATCTTTGTCCGCACGACATTGCGACGCACGTCCAGCACCACGAGAGCACGCCAGAGCACGTCTCATGGCGCACGGGGCATTTGTGACGAGCGAATATGGCCAGAATGTCGTGATAAACCTGCTTTTGAAAAAATTACGACTCCAACATCTCTTCTCATCACACATCCCTTCTCAGATCCACACAATCACGCTGTTGGCACACGTGTGCCAGGCACACGACGAAATTTAAGTTTTTCGGAATCCTTCCCGCAC